AATGAAGGAAGAAACTAGGGAGAGAGAGAGAGAGTGAAAGGGAGGGATAAATCACAGGCAGAATAAAAAGCTTGTTAGATATATATTTCTAACCTTCAGAACTAGTGCCTGTGGATTTGGTGTGTCCACATTTTCAATAATAGCAACACGAAGGTTCTCTAACTTAGCTGTGACTTTTAGCGGAGGCAGAGTCTGTAATTTAGCCAAAACCCCATCACTAGCGCTAGTCTTTGTACTTTCCAAGGATTTCTCTTTTTCAAGAACTGGTTCTGGATCTTTAGCTATGGCTCGGGGAGAATCAGGAAGCTCTTCAAGATTAGGAGGAGCAATCTGTTCTGATATTGATTTGAAATAATCGCTGATCGTCTTTACAAAATTGATATCGCTCAATGCCAGGATTTCGTGTAGAGAGAGCAAAACTAAAAATAAAATAAAATAAATAAGTATATCAATAAATATGTGTAAGAAAAATTAATAAAAACTGAGGGTGATTTTGGAGCCATTTTTTGGGAAAAAAAACCATGGGCTATAGTACACGCTTTTTTCAAAAATACGCTAATTTTTAAAATGCTCGAAACTCCAGAATTTATAGCTTAAATTATATAATAAATATATTGTACCTGAGTGTTCTTTGTTAATGGAGAGATACTGCACCTTTAATATATGACGATCAATCTTTCCAGTATACGCATTCAGTGGGTTGCTGGTATAATGTTGAATAACACGATTACTGAGAGGAAGAGAGAGAGGGAGAAAAATTTAAAAAATAAAATAAAACAATTACAATGTACATGTACAAGCAAAATTTATACTGTATAAAAAAAGAACAAAATTATTCACATACATGTAATATAAAATTTTTAAGGCTTACCCAGTATTTTTTTGCCGATTCTCTTCTTGCATATCAATCAACGCTAGGTCTTTAACTGCAGCATTTACATCGATATCACTGTTGCTATAGATACTGGTACATAACTCTGCCCCTATCAGCTCAAATGATGCCAGTCCTTTGTTTAACGGACTCAATGAAGAATCCTCCTATAACCATAAATCACTTAATAACTACTACTTAATAATCACCACTTAATAACTAGTACATAAGAACTACTACTTATTTAACTACTACTTAATAACATAAATTAATAACTGCTCATTAATAACCATTACTTTCCTTACTTGTTTTGGCTCATTTTTATAGAGGGCCAGCTGGAACTGAGCCAAGGAAACATTAATGGTAGCAGCTCTGTACTTCTCCACTGGCTCCTCCTCACATTGGACTGGAGGAGGGGACGCTTCAGGTTCTGGTTCTGAGGAATGGAAACACGAGAATGGAAACATGGGAATGGAAGATAGAAATGACAAAATATGAATATATCAATTCAAAATTCACCTGTGAGGACTTCCACAACTGCACCAGCAAACTGTCCGCTAACTTCATTGTAGTGAATATTTTAAAATGAAGATAATGTTTGAATTATGAATCATAATGAGTACCTTTCTTTTTGATGACGGGAACTATCGATTCCGCCATTGAAATACCCAATCTTATCACTGATTCAATATCATCCTGACCAAGCACAACCTAATACAAAATGAATGCAACATAAGTACATCAATATGTATCAGAAAATGTAATAAAAATTGGGGGTGATTTCGGAGCCATTTTTTGGAAAAAACCATGGGCTATAGCCTTGGGTATTTTACAGATTTTGGCTCATTTTTTAAAATGGCCGTAACTTGAAAAGTTAAAGTCAGAATCACCTCAAATTTTCTACACAGCATAAGTACATCAATATGTATCAGAAAATGTAATAAAAATTTGGGGTGATTTGGAGCCATTTTTATCAGTAACATCAATATGTATCAGAAATGTGATAAGAGGGTGGAGCATTTACTTGATATCTTGTTTAAACACTACTGTTGCATCAGTCAGCAAGTTAATAAACTGAACTGGAGTGCAAGTTTCATAATACGACGAAAAACTTATAATATTAGAGCTCTCGGTTTCCTGAACGTCGACAATAAGAACAGTAGGCTAAGAGGAAAAGAGAACATAGTACAATGGTGAGCTAGATATACCCACAAGTACATATGCAGCTGAAAATATTAGCAGGAAATTAATATTAGCAAATTGGTAGTTGCAGTAAGCATTAGCTGTCAATATAAAATATACTATTTTGTTTAAATCTACAAGCATGTCCAATATCACGTGGTCTAGTACATCATAAATATAAAATCCAAAATCCGATGATTGTAGGTACTTTTTAAAAAATGAAACTCACACCAATATAATTCCAGCTGTACGGTATAGCCTTACCATCCCTCCCTCCCTCTCTCACTTTATTTGTCAGTTTTAGTACGACCGAGTCAGTTTTCTTGTAATTAAATAAAACGCTCCGACAATCCTTTCTGACCGTCACATAAAGACGAGATGAATCCACCAGCGGCCAAAAGGGAACCACCTGCCCCTTAGGAACGAGAGTCCCTTCTCCGGAGCCTCTTTCTTCGTGAACAGTAACATCAGTCTACATAAAGAAGGTTGGACATGGTACATTTTATGCAAATTCTCAATAAGGAGAATCCTTCCTTAAATTATACTAAATAATTATGTAATACTTAATTAAAATTAGAAGAGCTAAATCTTTTATGTGCTATATAATATATATACAATAAAAACTGGGCTTGAACCTGGTAAAACAGTGCTACATGTACATGTGCGTCACATGCAGGTCACATGACTTACTTGGGTGTGGTTTGAGAGAAGGTAATAAGGCGTGACTATGACTAGTTTTGAGAGAGTAAATTTTGAGAGCTGAACAGCCACTCCAAACTAAAGACAAGAAATACAACATGACACAAACTTGTCAAAAAAGCTGCTCTACTATTTTTCCATGTACAGTCAATCCTGTCTATTCCGGACACCTTGGGACCCAATAATACCCTAGCTCCTGATTATGAACCTGTCCTTATTTCAGTGGTTCATTAATACACATTACTATTGTATTGGGACTGATACTACCTGTCCTCATTATAGAGGTGTCCTTATTTTAGAATGTCCATAATAGCAGGTTTGACTAGTACCATCATGTAAATAACCCTCTCTCTTTCTCCCCCCTCTCTCCCTCTCCCCTCTCCCCTCTCTCCTTCTCTCCCCCCTCTCTTTCTCTCCCCCTCCCCCCTCTCTCTCTCTCTTACATGATTGACAATGCTAGTGTTAGGTAGTCTGGAGTGGTAGCGTCCACTGGTACCAACTGCTTGCAATGAAATGGAACTAGACCAGTCGGTTTTGCTGCCTCTGGTTGTGTATGAGGAGAGATTGATCTAAAAGAAACAGAAATAATGAATAATGTAGAGTGTAGCCTCTATAAAATGGACACTTTAAAAGTGTCTCTGTTATACAGAGGTGTCCTTTATGTGGAGGTTATTTTATACAGTAAGGAATGTAATTGGTACACTAGGTGCTGTCCGTTAAATGGAGGTATACGCTATAGAGAGTGTCCATTAAAAGAGGCTACACTGTACATGTACATTTATAATATCACATGAACAAGTATTTAATACCTTGCAGTGTTTCTTATCTTCACATGACAACATAATGAAATCGTCTCCTGGTTGATGCTTAAATACTTTACCAGACTTGTCGTCCTAATAATAATAATAATAATAAATAATAATAATGATAATAATAATAAATAATAATAATACATTTACTACTAATAATAATGCTAATACTAAATTACTAATGTAGATACAACATACCTTGTATTCAAGTGTCAGTCCAGTTTTATTAATCATCCAATAGGGGCAGTACAAACTCAACCTGTGGTAGCCATGGTCCTCATGCAATAAATACATAGTCTGGAAAGGAAGGAGGAGGAAAGAAAGATTATATGGAAAAGTATAGAATCTTTAAAGTTGCTCCAAAAATTGTGTCAAAGTCCCTGTATTAGAGTACAGGAATTTTGGTCAAATTTCACCAAAAATAAAAAAGTGAGACTTCTTTATTTTTAAAATTTTTCCTAGTGCATACATGTTCTTATGTTGTGTTTCAAGTTTGAGCTGATTCTGATCAAGTTTGAATTTTTTATGGATTTTTAAAAGTTGATCCAAAAGCCATATTTTATGCATGTACATGTACAGTGCATAAAATACTATTTTTCAATAAAAATAACATACTATATGTTTTATAAAAATACTATTAAAAAATAATATAACATACTATTGGTGATCTGTCCCTTCCAATGAGGAAATCAATTTCACTAGGAAACGGATAAGGCAATGGAAATGTGCCAATCATGTCTTCCTTAGGCAACTAGAAAAGAATCGAATAATTAATACAATAACGACAGGGTCATACCTGCGGTGTAACTATACTTGTAATGACATGCATAGCTATGCATACACTAATTATCAAGTATCACCTTAGGTATTATTATTATTATGCATATGTGTTACTTATGTAATCATGCATCATGTTACTATATTTAGAACAGTTATAAGTATACAGTGGAACCTCGAATTGTGGACACCATTGGGACCACCCCAAAGTGTCCTGATTATAGGGGTGTCCTTAACTCAGGGGTTTTAAAAATAGGCAGTGGCTATTTTTACGGGCCCGTAATCCGACCGTGGGTGGCTATTTTTACGGCAGGATGATTTATCTATGGATTTACTCATTTTAAAACCTGGGAAACACTCTAAAATAAAAAAAACAACCCTAAACCAACCTTGGGGACTCCTAACATAACTAGGGGGCTCATAAAATGACTGGGGATGCTCTAAAAAAAACTGCCACCCTAACCCCTAAACCCTAAAAACAATAGCTAAGTAGGGGACTCCTAACATAACTAGGGCTCCTAACATAATTAGGGAACATAGCGAAGTAGAAAGATTAAAAAAATCAATTTGTTAAAGTCAAAATTATTAAAAAAAAAAAGAAATGGTCTGAGCTGAATTCGAACCAGTGCCTATCCGTACCCAACCCCTACTCCACTGTGCCACCACGATCCTACTGCCTTATTGATGCTGATTGTCATCTTTATACGTCACTTCATTTCTATATTCCCTGCCGTAAAAATAACTGTATACAATGAGATTACGGGACCGTAAAAATAGCCACTACGTTAAAAATAAGAACAAATTAATGAACTAATACATGGACTCCAGTGCTGTTGCTATGATGAAGGACTCTTATTGTTGCAGTGACCCTGGCAACAGGATGAACAGAGGAACTGGATATGGACTAGAAACTCCTTGCAAGTATCGCTGGTATGGCTCAGAAACATTCTCGCAGAAGTTGGAAGACATTCTTCATGCTATTATGCAGCATGATTATGCAGCATGGTCTCGTTACTTTAGTTGCCGGTCAGGGCGGAGCTTTAAGCGGGATTAACCACACCTACTCAGCCCATTTAAGCCTCCGTCGAGGCCACGGTAGACCGCGTGTTTGCAGTCATTTGAGGCTTTGAACTGAACCATTTCAAGCCAGTCTTGCAGTCTTATGTGCAGTCTTGTGTCTCTGAGCCTTCTAGCAAGTTTTTCTGTTCTGAGGATGGCATCCGTTCATGGGACTACTAGTAGCAGTACCGGTGATGGGACAACCACGATCTCTTCCACGGCAGTTGGCGTGGGCAGTGCTGGCTCAGCTACTGTTTCTTCTTCCACTAGTACTGCAGTCTCCAGCCATTCCTCACGGCCGATCACTACCAGCAGCACGAGCTCCGAGGCTCTCTCAGGACCAGAAGCCCTCATGCGGGTGTTGAACGCTGCTGTAGAGTCTGGGATCGAGAGAGGAATTGGTCGAGCTCTCCGTCTCGCCTCCCGTCCCCCTGGAGCTGGCGGGCCACCACTGCCTCCCTCGTCTGATGGTTCACGGCCGCCCGGCTCTACAGCTCATTCTCTCCCAGCCATTCCACCCCTATCAGGTATGTGGTTTTGATATTGCTGGTGCATCTGCCTACCATTGCATGGATTGCTTCAGCATTGCATAAATTACATTGATACAATTGCTTTTCTTATGGCCAATTACATTTTCACACCTTTATTATTGTGTAAGCTTTTATACCACAGACACCTTCCCACCTCCCCTGCAGGGGGGGGGGGGCTTGCAAAACTGAGTGCATTTCTAAGCAGGCTATATGCTATTGGGCACCCACAGCAGGTGGGTCCAGGGGCTCATCTTCCCTCTCCTTCTGTATTCTTACTTTATACCTTCTTTTACCCCTCTAATCTCTCCTCTCTCACTTA